CCCACCACAGATATTTCTAAGCTTTTCTTTAGTTCTTTAGTTTCTTTTGACAAGTTTGAAATTTTGCTGGGTGGGATCTTGACCAAAGCTGACCATTACCTTTATTCCATTTCTTAATCTGTTTATCTCCCCTGAACACAGGACTCAATTCTAGTCCACATTCAGTGTTCTCTGTCTCCTTAAATTTTACATTTTGTAATTTACCCTGTTCAGCTTGCTCCTATTCATTATAAATCTTCATTAGAGTTATCATTAATAACCATACAACACAATCAATAGTAGGCTGTTTTGATATTTCTACTGCCAACAGTATCAACCCGAACGTCTTCACTTTGGGCTCAGGCAGACTCTTTGGACAAAGGTAAAAAGCAGCCACTTTGTTCACCAAAATATCACAGGAACAATTTCTAGGCAACATATTAAAATTATTCTCCTTGGATATCTCTTGAGTGAGTTCCTCACAGTTGAAATAATTTGTACAGAAGACTGCTTCCTGAACATAACAACAGTAGCACAGACAGTGAGATCCACAATTAATAGATGGGACCTCCTGAAACTGAGAAGCTTCTGTAAGGCAAAGGACACAGTCAGCAAGACAAAAAGGCAGCACACAGAATGGGAAAAATATTCACTAACCCTACATCCGACAGAGGGTTGATCTCCAAAATTTACAAAGAACTCAAGAAGCAAGTCGCCAAATCACCAAAGGATCCAATTAAAAAGTGAGCTGCAGACCTAAATAGAGAATTTTCAATAGAGGAGTCTAAAATGGCTGAGAGGCACTTGAGAAAGTGCTCAATATCCTTAGCCATCCGGGAAATGCAAATCAAGACAACTCTTAGATACCATCTCACTCCTGTCAGAATGGTTAAATAAAAAACACCAGCGACAATTTATGTTGGAGAGGATGTGGTAAAAGGGGAACACTCTTCTATTGCTGGTGGGAATGCCAACTTGTTCAGCCACTTTGGAAATCAGTGTGGAGATTCCTCAGAAAAATGGGAATAAACCTACCACAAGACCCAGCAACTCCACTCTTAGGCATATATCCAAAAGATGCCCATTCATACAACAAGGATGCCTGTTCCACTATGTTCATAGCAGCATTCTTTGTAATAGTCAGAACTTGGAAGCAACCTAGATGCCCCTCTACCGAAGAGTGGATAGAGAAAATGTGGAACATTTACACAATGGAGTACTATTCATCAGAAAAAATAATGGAATCCTGAGATTTGCAGGCAAATGGATGACCCTAGAAGAAACCATCCTGAGTGAGGTAACCCAGTCACAAAAAGAGAAACATTACATGTATTCTCTCATATATGGATTTTAGACATAGATCTGGGGAGTGCCAGCCTACAATCCCATGGCCAGAGAGTCAGGGTAACAGAAACTTCATTCAGTGGCTGATGGAGGCAGAGGCAGACTCCCATGGCTAAGCACTGAGCTGAACTCAAGAAAGCCAGTAACAGAGAGGGAGGACTGATGACCAAAGGGATTAAGACTGGGCTGTTTTAACTCTCAGAAACAGCTGACCTGACAAGGGTTAGCTCTTGAATCCCAGGCTGATGTCTGGGAATCCGGCATGGGACTGATCAAGACCCCCTGAATGGGGGTGTCACTGAGGAGGCCTAGGCAATCTATGGGGCCATTGGTAGTTGACCAGTATTTATTCCTGGCATACAAATGGACATTGGGTGCCCATCCCACAACGAGAGATGCTCTCTCACCCTGGATTCTTGGGGGAGGTTCTAGGCCCTGTCCTGGATGAAATGACAGACTATGGACACCCCAATGGAAGAACTCACCCTCCCTGGGGAAAGGAGGGGGTATTGGGTGGGTGGTGGGAGGGGTTGGGAGGAGGGAAAGGGAGAGGGATGTGAGACTGACATGTGAAGAAACCTTGTTTCTAATTTGAATTTAAATTTAAAAATAAAATTTTTTAATATAAAAAAATGAAAGAACTCTTAACACCTCTGTCTTTCATGCTCCTATTACTATGCACTGTTAAGTGTTAAGCAGTGCTTAAAGCATTCTTCTGCTTTCATTGCCCAAAGTGCCAAATTCCTCCCAGTAAACACATAGTCATTCCTGTCACAACACTTCCCCAGTCCCTGCTACCAACCTCTGTCTTAGTTAGGGTCTTTTTTCTGTGAAGAGACACCATGTCCATGGAAACTCTTATAAGAAAACACTTAATTGAGAGTTCTTGCTTACAGTTTCCGAGGTTCAGTCCAGTATCATATTGACAAAAAACATGGTGCGTTCAGGCAGATGTGGTACTGGAGTTGAAACTGCTACATCTTGCAGGCAACAGGAAGTTGACTGATTCACTAGTTATTGTCCTGAGCATAAGAAATCTCAAAGGTCGCCCCCACAGTGATGTACTTCCACCAATAAAACCGCACCTACTCTGACAAGGCCATGCCTCCTAATAGTGTCACATCATGAGAGTATAGTGGGCAGTTCCATCCAAAATACTCCATCCTGTTGCAAGCCTGTCTGTTCCCCATATTACAAGTGCTTGTGCTTACTGCCGTGCTAAGATTGCCTGTCATGGCTGGTCAAGGTAATAATCAGACTCAGGTTAAGGGGAGCATAGCAAGAGTGATGCTCTCATCATTTTATTGAGATCAATTATATTTACTATACAATTATCAGAAACAGAATGTAGTGGTGATTGTTTGGATCAATATAGTTGCTTCCAGGAAATAATGAAGTTTGCAAGCTGTACAGGGTACACAAGATTGATGTCTAGGACCAATTGTCATGTCAAACTATATGCTTCATTTACTTCCAAGGGAACTTAGAGAAAAGCAAAGTGGTTTGAATGCTTCACTGCCTGATGAAGGGCCTCAGTTTCTCAGTAATTTCCCTAGAAGCCATGAACTCTAACATGAAAAACCTGTGATATGTGTGTCTTTAGGTATTTATGCTAGTCCAAGTACGTGGTTCCCTGCACCATAACCTTCACTCTCCTATATCTTTCTGATACTCACCATTGACATTTGGAGTCCTGTAACTCAAGTCAGTCACAATAAAACACCTGGGAAGATTGGTACATGTTATGGTACAGCCTGGCTAGTTAGCTGAATGCCAGGCCCAATCTTGGTATCATGTGTGAGCTTTCTGTACAAACATCAAATCCTGAAGATGGATGGTGGGTGCTTCTCAGGAAAACTCAATGGGATGCCTTATTCTGTCCTATCTAGAACATAGCTTTGAACAGCAAAGTCTTGGTTGGCACTGGTCCAGGCTTAGCAGTGGAGGTCAGTGCACTTGGAGGGATTCAGAACTCCATAGTATTAGGCAGGCTGATAGTCAGTGAGGATCAAAGAAGACAATGGCATTCCTAATCCAGTCCCTATGAATATACCATCAAGCTCTGCAGCTCAGATCACAATGGACAAAGGCTGTTTCTCCCACACAGCGTAGGAGGCGCACCATTTCTGAGCACTCATATCCTGTATCTGCCTGTGAGTCATCATCTACTTAGATCTCTAAGAACATGGATTGAGGATGGAGGTCAGAGAGACCAGCAGTAGTTGAAAGAGTACTTTGCAATTATCATATGTCCTACAGGGGCATCTTCTGTCTGTCCTCTCCAAACTACTAATAGTGTTCCCCAAGGCCAATATTGCAAGCAATAAATCCAACCCTGTAAAGCATGATGATGGTAGTCTTAAAGCATGAACCTGAGAGTCATAAAACAACCTACCTGTGGAGTGTAAATTTTCAAAGTCTGTTAACAGGTGACAGGCTGAAGATGTCTGTGGGAAACAGGATTCTCAATGCCACAACTGATGCAGATCCCTATGAATATATAATCTTAAAATGAGTGACTGCCAAACAAAGTTACCCATTCCACCTGAATATTACCTGTGAGTTAATTCTGTTGCATCATGGATATAACTGCCTACAAACAGAAAGCTACAGTTTGGACACTCAGTCCTTCTTCAGTTTTGGACAGAGAACCACAAAACAGATGCGTAGGCTGGCCAGGAATCCCTGACCTAGCCCAAGAACATGTAGCAAGGCCTGAGATTTAGGTATAATTGAGTAGAGGGACTTCTGCCCAGACAGTCTCTGTGTGTTGAAGAAAGGGTATCTCAGATTTAGGCTCAGTGCACTCCTGAGTGTACACTGGGGCTGTTGTCTGTATTGCACTGGTGATAGATTAGGGGTTGTGCACGCTACACAAGTACTTTTTAAAATTGATCTGCAACATAGCTCTGGTAGGTTCTTCTTAAGTAAGTCTATAGTAGATTTCAAAGAAAATCTATGGCCTTCTGGACACAAGAATTTCCCTTTCCTTATGCTGACATAACATGTAACTTTATTTTTTGTTCCAGATGTTTCAAATGCCCTGCAACAAAATGCTGGAATGTTGCCATGAAATCCTTCATGGAAAGAGGTAGCCATGGTTTTTTCCAATTCATATTGTATCACCTCTGGCTTCTTCTGCGTTGGAACTTTGTCCTATTACATGAATGGTAAAGAACTGTTTTTCCTCCTAGTTATCACTCAGCTGGTCCCTTTGTAGTTCTCACGGACGTCTCCTCTCTCAACTGTACTGCTGGGAGTAAATTCCACCTTTTTAAAAGCTCCAACAATACACAGAGAACACAGAATGCTCACTTGGGTCTCTGGGCCACATGGACACATAGGTAGGAATGACCCAATCCAGGACATAGCAGGTGTCAGCCTTGTGGGGGTGTGTTATTCTCCGAAGGCATAGGATGCTTATCAACCTTGTGGCTCTGTGTGTTGCTTAGAGGTGAACTATAAAGAGAGAAGAGCTGAGAGGTAAAGAGGTAAAGTGCTGAAAGTGGAAGGGAGAGAGAAGTGCTTCCCACGGACAGCACTGTTCATAGCCTATCGGATTCTGAGACATTATCCTGTCTAGGTAGACACTCAGCTTAGAGGGAGAAGGACAGCTGAGCTTGGAAGCTGGGCTGAAGCTGGAGTTCTTCTCGGAGGGTGGATGTCATAGTAAGAAGATGGCTGTGTCCTCTGTGCTTCTCTTCAGGGGCTACACACTCTGGCAAGGACTCCTGCTCACAGGTAAGTGTACCTATTCTGATTGTGGAAGGAGGGAAATTCAGAAGCGTTATGGAATCTCTTAAATAGGAAAGGAGACCAAGGGAAGGGTCAGGGTTTCTGTTTGCAGTCATAGGACAGAAGGTACAGTGATGTACAGAGACTCAGCAGCATCAAACTTTCATCAGATAGGAGGGGATGATGGAAAATGAAAAGCTCCAAACACTTAATATTCAAAGTCAGCCGTACTGGCTGTCATGTTATGAAGCCTGATGTCCCCATCCATGACAGGGTGACTCTCCAAACAAAAATCAATTAAGGGTGGGCAAGTGAGATTGTTCAGTGTCCAGATATACAACCTGAATTCAGTTCTCAACCCCCATGTGGTAGATTGAAAGAACAAACTCATAAAATATGAACCTTGCCATCCAGACAGGAGCTGACATATGTACTTGCAGATGTGCACGCTGGAACACAAGCTTCTACACAAGCAAAACTGCATGGACTGGCACATGCACATGCTAACTCAGGTTCTTCACAAATACACCCATGCAATACATAAATAAATGTGAGAACATCAAATCCCACTTGATAAAATTATTGGCATTATTTCTAAACCTGGGAACTATGTAGACAAATCCATGAACACAGTCCTTCTTCTCCCCTCCCTCCCTCCCTCCCTTCCTCCTTCCCTTCCTTCATTCTATCCATTCTCCATTGGTGCATGCCTTTTTCAGGACCTGAAACTTCCAAAGAGTTTATGTCCTCATAAAACTATGGTTAAAATGGATCAGAAATGAAACTATCTGGGAAATGAAGTCTCAAGTTGGCTAGAAACACAAAGGGAACAGAGAAAAAGTCAGAAAGTAAGGACACTCTAGAGGAGGATATCAGAGAGACATTGTGTCTCACACCAAACACTCTATGTGAGGAAGGATATGGGGACATTGTATGGGGAGTCAGGAGGACACCTGAGCAAGGAGTCCCATTTAGAAGAAAGGACATAGTTATAGATTTTAAAGGAGTGCAAGCCACGTTCTTCACCTCCACCAAGGGGGCTGGATACACCCCTACCCTAACTGAGTTTTTCTCTCTTGTTGTCCAGCCTCTCTTTTAACCTGTTGGCATCTGTCCACCACTGTCAAAATCTCCATTGAGTCAGTGCCATCTCAAGCGATTGAAGGAGAAAACGTTCTTCTACGTCCCAGCAACCTGCCAGAGGATATTCTAGCTTTTGCCTGGTTCAAAAGAGTGAAGAGAACGAGGCATGGAATTGCACTATATTCACTGACCAAAAATCTAAGTAGGCCAGGGCCTCAATACAGTGGTAGAGAAACTTTGTATAGCAATGGATCCTTGTGGCTCCAAAATGTCACTCAGAGGGACAAAGGATTCTACGTCCTACGAACAATAAATAGAAGTGGAAAAATTGCATCTACGACAGCCATGTACCTCCATGTGTACAGTAAGTAAATTCTTTGTGAACTCTGTGTTCTGGGTGGGCTACACAGAAAACATCAAACCTAGCCCGTGACTACCTCTTCTCTGCACTGTATTCCCGTGTTGGGGTTTGAGAATTTTGTGCAGGGCACACATAGTGGAGAATAACTGAAATAAACCAGTCTTTCATTTGATGTCACCTTGCAGGCAGCTGCATGTGTGCTGGGTAACTCAGTCTACGGTATCAACCACTGTCTAGACCTTTGGGGTTCTGGAAAGGAATGTGTCTTTGAGAAAATCTCCAAGGGACAGAGATTGGGCCTGGTAGAAATGCAGTGGGATTCTCACAGGAAAGTGAGCCCAGAAAGGTTGAAAACCTCTGTCCCAGACTCAATGCCAGGTAGCACTGAGAAACATTTTACTAGGGTTACAATTTTACTTCCTGATGTCAAGGAACAGTTCTTTCTAACAGTTGAAATCTGGTGACATGTGTAAGCAGCTAGTGCTCTGTCATGAAAGCCATCTTTATCCAAGATTCCAAACATTTCCAGAGACTCAGCTGCGATAACAGAGCTCGATAGGTGCCCAGGCTACTAAATAAATGTCCTGGTGTGCTTATGAAATTTCTAGGATGGTCATGGTTGCCAAGGAGAGGGACAGATGATGCACGTCCTCCTGACAAGTCCTTGCTTTCTGGGATTCAGATCAGGAATTTCTCCTATGGAGACAAATGGCTAGAGGCTCTGCTGACATGGACAATTTGCCAGATGTGAGCCACAGTTCCTCCGGTTCTTATAAGGGGTGGGAGTAGGATGCAGAATCAAAATTCAGAGAAGTATTGGCCTGAACGAGGAACTCACGTTTTATTCTGGCTTTTACTTCTGTCACTACAAACTTGAAAGTCAAGGACACAGTTTTCCTAGACCTACTGGCTGCTTCCTGTGATTGCTACACTGATGTTCGGTTCTCCATTTATGTAGTTTCTTTGGGAAAGACAGCATAGCCAAGGGGAATCACCTAGACTAAAGTCTAATGGAACACAGAAACCCCAGGACAGACACACCACACAGGTTAGTAAGCAGAGGTTATGGGAACATTGTATTGAGCTTCCACATGGACAGTAGATTCCACACCATCTTTCTCTGACTCAGGTCTCATATTCCCATACACCCAGGATTTGAGACGCCTGTCACATCTGCTACTGGGCCTTTGTCATGAATCTGAATCCTTACTAGTGACTGCAGTGAGAACAGTTTTGTCCCTTTCCTCATGCATCAGGCAGCTGGTCCCTTTGGAGCCCACACAGACATTTCTGTCCCCTTTCTGCTGAGAGTATATTCTATCTTTAATGAAAATTGAAATCACAGGGCATACTGTGTGTGCAGCTGGGCTTGTGTATCACACAAGAAAAGAAGAGATTCCCTCTTTGGTAATGACGGACCAAGGTCAGGACACAGCAGATGTTATCTCTAGATTACACAACTGTTCTCTCAAGACATAGGAATGCTCATCAGCCTTGTTCACAGTGTGTTCTGCAGGAATGAAACAAAGACAGAAGAAGAGAGGGAAACAAGACAGTCCTGAGTGTGGAGAGGGCAGAGGAGTGTTTTGAACACAGACCCACCCACAGCCCATGAGACTCTTGGAGGCACTCCTTCCTAGGAAGATGCTTGGCTCAGATGGAGGAAGGACAGCAGAGCTTAGGAGTTGTGTTGGAGGAGAAGCTCTACAGAAGGAGGACATATAGTGCCACAAAGATTAAGGATAAACAATCTGTACCCCTCTGCAAACTGCACACTACCTCTCATGGGCTCCTGCTCAAAGCTGAGCACTCACATTGATAGTCTGTGAGAGTAGAGGGCTGAGTTACCATCTGAAGTTTCCTAAAAGGGGCAAGGACCTGAAAGGAGTCTGGAGGTTTGTAGGAGAGAAGACACAAGACAGTTGCTCAGTAGCAGGAAGTTCTCAGTGAATGAAATATGGTGAGTGAGTGGGGAGAGAGTGATCTTAACCAAAGTTATGCACTATGACCACAATATTCTAAGAGTAATGTTCTCAGTTATGGCTCTCAGTTTTGGCTTTCTAAAGGGAAAAAAGCAAGCTACTGTTGATCAGTGACATGGATTAATGGATACAGGTATTTGCTTCATTTTCTGATGCACCGAGAAACAAGGAAAACAAGTACTGTGTCCTGCACCCACGCCCCACACTGAGACATGCCTTTGCACACAAACTCTCACACAAACATAACTTGTAAATAAGTGTCCAAAAACAAACTGAACGAAACAAAATTTCTCAAACCACAGGCATACAGGCTTCGAGGACATTATTCATTCGTTGATTCTCTACAGCTATCTGAGATTTTTTTTCTAGGCAGAACTTTCATTTAAAATTATAAGGCAAATTCTTATAAGGCCCTAGTTCAAGTGAACTTGAAGTAAAAATAAAGCTACAATGTAAATAAAGATGTTGACTGGAACCACAAGAGGAGCAAAACAACAATGAAAGTCAGAGATTGAAGACAGAGGGTATGTGGGGGAAGACATTAGGCAGGCATCACCCCAACAACTTCTACAATAAATATGAGCAGGGGTCAGTGGGCAGTAGGCTAGCCATGCTGACAACTAAGGAGAGAATGCCATGTAGTGGAAATTACTATCTGGGGGATACTGATAACATGGAGGTCACGTGCTGTCCTCCACCAAGTAGGAGGACACTTACCCAAACACCTGGACTGAGAAATGAACACAGCTGCTCAGGACAGAGGGACTCATCTTAGCAAAAGACAAATTTCCCAATATTGATAATCTCTCTCTTCTCTTCTAGGCTCCCTTTTCGCCTGTGAGCGTCCTCACCCCTCTGCCGTGCCCACTATTGAATTAGTGCCATCCAATGTTACCGAAGGGGCAAATGTTCTTCTGCTTGTTCACAATGTTCCCACGAATCTTAAATGTCTTTTCTGGTACAAAGGGGTGATTGCGCTCAAGAAGTTTGAGGTTGCCCACCATATAAGAGGCATAGATTCAAGCGTGCAAGGTCCTGCACACAGTGGCAGAGAGGCATTGCTCAGAAACGGATCCCTGCTGTTCTACAATGTCATGTGTAAAGACACTGGATTGTACACCCTACGAACTCTGAGTACAGATCTGAAAGCAGAAGAAGCACACGTGCAACTCCAGGTGGACGGTAAGTGATTCTCTGCCATTGCTCAGTGCTGGCTGAGGCTTAGACACATGGGACTGTCATGCCTTGTCTGTGCCTACTTCCCCTCACTACTGTATCCCCATGTTGGGAATTGAGCAGTTAGTGCAGGACACATGAGGTAGAGACAAATTATCATAGATCACACTCTCTAGTGGGACTCCACCCTGCATCAAGGAAAACATTGATGGAAAGCAATTCAGCAAAGATGTCAGATTATGTCCAGTGTCTCAGGTTTATATCTATGTGAGGAAACTATGGCATCCTCATAAAGAGGTGAGCCCAAGGAATCCATGGCCCCTGTCATGTGTTCCAGGCTTCACTATACATTTCCCTGGAGATTATTTGTTCAGGACTCAATTCTTATTTCTCAGAGTTAACAGGGAATAGTGCTTTTTGGCTATCTATAACAAACTGGAGTATGTGTTAGCTCCAAATTGAGGGTGTAATAAATAAAGTCCAGGAACTGATGCAGAGAACAAGAAGGAGTGCTGCTTGTTAACTTGCTTATGGCTTGGTCAGTCTGATTTCTTTCATCACCCAATACTAATAACTCAGAGATGAAACTGCCTATGGTGAGTTAGACTCTCCCAGACTAATCTTCAATTAAAAATACATAGTATATGTTACAGGCTTGCTCACAGGCCAATTTGACAGTGGAATTTCTAGTTGAGTATCCCACTTTGCAAGTTGACATAAAGCCAGTATCTGAGACTTTTTTTTATGACTTGAGCCTGCCAAGAAGACCAGGCTTCTGCTGACCTCACCCAGCTTAGTCCTGTGGGATTCAGAGCAAAGCACAAAGCACATCTAGTAAGTGAAGTCAGGGCTTGACTGGAGTCAGAAAGCAAACTGGAAAAGAAAGGTCTGCATATTTCAGTGGCGGCATCATCCAAAATTGCAGTGTTCATGAGTGTGATGAGTTGTATAGTGTCTGACTGAAGGCAATGAAGGTAGACAACCACAGGGAGAGCTCCTTGCAGAGGAAATGACACATTCATCAGCACTGAGAGAATGGAGGTCATCTCTCTGACCTCTACCTTGAAGGATAGATATAACCACACCTGCATCTATAGACTGAATGATGAATCCATCTGTTCAGCACAGAGGTTGCCGTCTTACTACCACTCCAATCTGCTTCAATTGATGACTTCTTTTCTCTTCTACCCACACTATCTACAGGCTGTAAACCTTTCACCTCTGCCCAAGTCACAATTGAATCGAAGCCTCAGTATGCTGCGGAAGGGAAAAGCGTTCTTCTCCTAGTTCATAATCTGCCAGAAGATGTTCAAATATTTTCCTGGTACAAATCAGTGTATAGGACAGACATCTTTAAAATTGCAGAATACAGCATAGCCACAAATTCCACCACCTGGGGCCTTGCACATAGCCAAAGAGAAATGGTGTACACCAATGGATCTCTCCTTCTCCAGGATGTCACTAGTGAAGACGCAGGATTTTACATGCTAGAAACTGTAAGCAGAGACTCCAAAACTGAAAAAGCACATGTAAAACTCCATGTGAAGAGTAAGTGACCCTTTATGGCTTACGGATGTTGAATGTGGCTATCCAACTTCAAACACTGGGCTGTCAGGAGTGGGGTGTGCCTGTCCTTTATCCCACAGCATTGTGTCCACACACTGGGCTTGGGCACTTACTGAAAGAAAGGGTAGACACATTGAAGCAGAGCAGAGCCCTTCAGCAGTCTCCACCTGCAGAGAGAAGAATGTGCATTGGGTAACTCAGCACAAGAATTTCAGCCTCAGTGCAGACACTTGGAGCTCTCACCATGCCCTTGGCCCTAACAGAGACTCTGTGGGATGAGGAAGTCATGGGATTCTTATAGAGAGTACCAAGAAGTCTTTGTTTGAAACTTTGTACCTGGCTTTCTTTCCAGATGATATTGGAGAGCTTTTTGTCAATATTTGGCCTTAATTTCCTGTTATTGCTGATAGGGGACAAGTCTTTACTGACATTCCAAGTCCCATAGAATGTGAAGCCAGCTGTGCACTGACATGAGAGCTGAAGTTAGATTGGTCACATGGGCGTTTCCTTCTTCTGAATCCAAATGTTCAAGTTCCTGAACCATTAGTCAATTATTCTGATGGGTTTATTAGACTTCACGGCAATATCAATGTCCCGTAAAGTAGAAAGAGAGGAAACAGTTATTCCATACTCCTCCTTCTTCTCATGGATCTTAACTTGGGGAATTCTCTTCCCTGGGTAGATTGTAACAGATGCTGTTGATTTGATCAGCTCTCCCATCCTATGGTCAGGTCACTGCTCATGACTAAGCTTAACTCATAGAAGCAGTGATCATTTATGGTGTGTCTTATTACAGGGAAATTGAGAAACAGCACACTAAGTGTGTGAATCAGGGTCAAAGTACAAGATATATGTATAGTCTCAGGTCCATTTTCTCCCTCTGGGAGGCTTTATTAAGTGTGAAGTCTAGAGGGCTGGTTGAGCTCACTGAATGACTGCAGTCATTTTGTCTCTTCTCTTTCTTCACAGAGCCTGTGAAACAGCCCTTCGTGCGACTCTCTGACACCACAGTCACAGTACGAAGTTCCGTGGTCCTCACATGCTTCTCAGGTGACACTGGGATCTCCATAAATTGGATCCGCAATAACAAGAGTCTCCCGCTCACAGAGAGAAGGAAGCTGTCCCCAACAAAGTGCCAACTCACCATAGATCCTGTCAGGAGAAAGGATGCTGGAGAGTATCAGTGTGAGGTCTCCAACCCAGTCAGTTCAAAGACCAGTCTTCCAGTCAGGCTAACTGTGATGAAAGAATGACTTCTTTCCTCTCATACTACAGCAGAGCAGGGGCCCTTTCCTCATCAAAGGCATACAAAATGGAAAAAAGTTAAGTCATAAAAATTGTCATCTATCATTCAGGAACAAACAGTATAATGATTCATGCCTATACTTTTGGGATAAATGTGCACATGGATAGGCCAGGATTTAAAGTGAGACTCAGTTTCCAAAGAAAATTAAGATGTCAATATAGTAAACATAATTGCAAAGAATTTAAAAGCATAGATTTTTGGATCAAATATATATCAAATCCTCAGAGTCCATGGGAACTAACTTCTGGCATCCCAAACTTCTGGATGTTATGGTTCCCCTGTAAACATGGTGTAGTGTTTGCATAGAGATAAACATTCTCTCATATGCTCCAACAGTTCCATCAAATGCCAAATGCTTTCTAGACTCCAGCTATCCATGTGAAGTGAGGAAGAGTTACCATCACCATTGTCAATTTCCAAGGTATCTCTAAACCTATATCATTCTCTCTAGTCCTGTGTACCCCATCTACTTCTGTCTCTATGCATATGACAAAACAGGACATATGATGTGGTAAATAATAGTTTATGGAATTACTGGTCAGGTGGGTGTGTTTGATCACCAATTCCAGAAACTTCTGTGGAATCTTAATTATTTTCTCCAAATAAGTTCATGTCATCTGCAGGTATATTTTATAGTGGATTGATTGACTACCTTTTAGTTCTTTGCTTTGCCTAATTGTTCTATCTAAGGCTCATAAGGGAATACTGAAGAGAAATGCTGATAGCAGCATTCTTGTGCTGAGCCTGATCTCAGAGGGAAAGCTGTCATTGTCCCCCCTGAGTAAAGAGTTGACGATAGGTATCCATATGTCCCTCTACTTCACTCACCTGTGTTTTACACCAAGTTTGGCTGTTTTAATCATTAAAATCTTTTCAATTTCATCCAATGTCTTTATTGATTTAGTCTTATGAGTTACATATTGAATCAGTTTTGTGATTCTTTCTCTCTCCATCTCTGTAGGTTCCGGACCTCTAGGAATTTATGTGCTTCATCTAGATCACTCAACAGTTAGCAAAAATACTGCTCTCAATATTCTTTATTTTTAACATTTTTAAAAATTTTAAATAGCTTGATTTACATGTGTGTGTGTGTGTGTGTGTGTGTGTGTCCTCCTATTGGGGAGACATCACAACCCCTAAGCATCAGAGGCCAATAATAAATAGTACTTGGAATGAGGAACGTCTTGTTGGTCATGGGAGATCAAGAGTTTCTGTCCCCCCCACCAAGGCCATTGCTTTTGCCCTTGGCTCTCTCCTAGAATTTGAAGATAGCTGTTTATTGTTAAATAAACCATTAACTGCTAGGACACAATGCTTGGAAAAGTCTAGCTGGATATTACCCTAAATACATCCTCCTATGGGTGAGACCTTACAGTATTTGGAGGTTCTATGCAATCTGACAACATAGGAAAACAATCAATAGGATGATCACATGACAAGGTGTCCGTTAAGGTACAAAAGTGGTACTTGTATGTTGGATATAACCAAAAACTGTCTAGTTGGCCACCTTGCTAGGAGGGAAATCATGCACTAGAAAACCACCAAAGAAATCCAAAACTTGTCCACATGCATAGAAAAATTTTCCATGGGTGTCCAGCCCTAATTGATTTATCTGTGACACTCTCCATTTTCTGAAGTTTAGGGAACATCTTGGAAGAGGAAGTTGAAAGATCGTAAGAATCGGAGAATCAGGACCTTTACTGTGAGATTGCGCCTTCTATTTATCAGAGGGAAGCTGCATCCAAGAAGTCTTAACCATGTGGGCATCTAAAGAGACCTGAGCAGTGGCAACCTCATGGAGCTCCACACCTAAATGAAGATCTATGTGCAATTAATGAGTGCTGAGAGAGAGTGTAGTTGTAGTTGACATTTTCTTTGAGCAGCTTAAAAGCTCCCAAATAAACACACAGAGACCTATTATTAATTATGAATACCCAGTTTTAGCTTAGGCCTCTCCCACTAGCTCTTATAACTTTATTTAATCTGTTTCTGTTAATCTATGTTCTGCCTTGGAGCTTTTTAACCTTTCATTCTGTCTGTGATACTTTGTTTCCCCCATGTTTGGCAGGCTGACCTCTGGTGTCCCCCTGACATTTCTTTCTCTCTCGCCTCTCTCTCTCTCTCTCTCTCTCTATTTCTTCCCTAAGTCTAGATTCATCTTTCTACTGACTCTCCCTGGCTAGAAGGTCCACTTATAACTCCTCCCTTGCTATTGGCCATTCGGCTTTTTATTAGACCAGTCAGATGATTTAGGCAGGCAAGGTAAAATGGAAACACATCTTTACATAGCTAAACAAATGCAACTCATCTTTATATACTTTAGTGTCCTGCAGTGTAAATATTCTACAACACAAGAAATACAATACATCTTTCAAAGTTAAACAAATACAACACATCTTTACATAGTCACAAAAATTCTACAAAATAAATAAATGCAACACATCTTTAAATAGTTGAACAGGTATTAAGTGAACCCATCAGATAGTATTTATATATTTATTGATTTATATATATAATACTAATTAAAGCATAATTCATTGAATTGAGAGAGGCAGTGAATGGCATTGGAGGAGGTACAGTGGAAGACTAAGGCGTGAAATGATGTAAATAAAATATGTATGCAGAAAAATTTCAAAAAATATTTTGAAAGCTTTAAAAGAGTGAAAGTAAGAGAGAGGTAGGAAGAGTGAGGGAATCAGAAATAGCTATCCTGAAGTGATCATAGAGGAAGGCCAAGGAACCTCTTCTGAGAGCATTCTCCATTTCAGACTGTATCAGTGAACAATCTTCTCCAGATTCCCAGAACAAAATAAATATCTGATCTTTTTTTTATCTCTAGAGGACCTGTAGGAAGTTTCACACCATGTGTTTAGTTCAGTGTATTGTAACTGACAAGGAACATGAAGGAGCCATGTATGGGAAACTGAGAGTAGCCAGGCTATACCCAGACATTACTACACTCTGTTCTTGAGTGAGCTGTCGGAGATGTGACCTACCTACGTTTGTGGGAATCTGGCCTAAAGATGCCGACCTGTTTCCTAACACAAAGGTGAGGAGACCGTGCCTTGGATGTGAACAGGAGGAGGGAAACTCAGAATGGCTGGAATGTAAGAGCTTGAGATGGTACTTGGAGTTTGTTCCTGTAGAGCACAGGGAGAGGATGGGGCAATGGTTTAGTATCAGGAAGCTCGTGGTGAACAATACATGGTAAGGTGTGGGGGAACAATATTGTTCCCTACTTAAAGCTAATCAACCTTGTCTTTTATATTCTGAAGACAGATGTTTCCAACTATGATAGAGTAACTCTTCAAATGAAAACCAGACCAGGGTGGGATACCGAGAGGTTCAGTTGGTAAAGACTTGCCAAGTCTGCTGCCCAGCTGACATACTGAGTCAATTCCAAGATTTCAGATGGTGGAAGGATAGAAACAATTCCCTCATGTCCTCTAACCTCCATATTCTACTCACTGATGTATACATTAGTAAACACACAGACACAAGCACACATGCACACACACACATACACAGACACACATTGTCTCCCTCTCATACCATAAAATGCACAAACATGTAAATTTTTGAAATAAAACTGTGTAATTATTAGTGTATTATGCTATCTACCAGCATGAGCTTCTCTCCAAAGGCAGTGTGCTAATAAAGTTGTCCATCCATCCATCGATCCACGTGTTCCTGGGCCTTTCCTAGGCACTGAAACTTTCCACAAAAGCAGGCAGAGTCCTGTCCTTGCAAAGCATTAGTTGCAGTGGATTACATGACAGACTGGAATACAGAAGGTAAAGTCAATGGTTGATTTTAACTGCAAATACAACAGAGCAAGAGAATGAAAAGGGAGTCTGGAGAGATGACTCAGCAGTTAGGAACACTTACTTCTCTCCTAGAGTACTTGAGCTATTTCCCAGCAGCCATCTTAGGAACCTTTAAAGCCCCACCTATCTCCATCTAGAGGGGATTCCACACAGCCCTCTGGACTCAGAGAGCTCCTGTACACACATGGCATGAAAGTGCACACATACATAAAATCTTGTAAATTAGAATTAAAATGAGAAACAGATGACCCAAAAACTCTAGAGGAAGCAGTAAGGGAATACACCCTCCCACACCCTATATGCTTTTGAGTGTGAGCACAGATGTGAAATCAGTTAGGGCGATTCATTTAGAATCTTGAGAATAGAATTCCATACAAGGTGAATGACATGGTTCAGAAGCACGGATTGAAAGGGGAGGTTGTGCCACATAACTTCTGTCTCTCAAGTTCTGAAGACATACTTATACACACACACACACACACACACACACACACACACACACGGAGGCAGACAGATAAACACACCTGCTTAATACACAGGACTCAGCATTCTACCACATGGAAAGATCCAAAGATTCCCATCTCTTTCTTTCAGCTTCAGTTTCAATTTATTTTTAAGGACTGCTTAAGGGTTTATTGAATGCATGTGTTCTTTGCATTTCCTGCATGCAGAGCCTGTAAAGCCTGGAAGAGTACTCAGACTCCCTAGAAATGGAGTTACAGGCAGTGGTGAGCTGCCCCGTTGGTGCTGGAAAATTGAAGCAGCACCAGCTAGAGAGTGATCAGTTCTCTCAACCCCTAAGCCATCTCTCCAGCTTCTAGGCTCACTTTCAATGTTACCTTCACCATACTGCTCAACTCATATTGACTTACTATTACACAATGCAGTGGAAAGGAAAACTGTCCTATGTGTTCTTAATGTGCCAGAGAATGTTCAAAGCTTTTACTGGTACAAAGAACTAACTGTGATTGATAGCCATGAACTGATGCATTTTATTTTATCTTATTTTTATTTTTTGGTTTTTACGAGACAGGGTTTCTCTGTATTGTTTTGGAGGCTGTCGGTCCAGCCCAGCCTCGAACTCACAGAGATCCACCTGCCTCTGCCTCCCGAGTGCTCG